GTGCTCCTAGCGAGGAAAGCATGCGATCGTTTCTAATTTGAAAGTCGAAGATTTAAAATTACTCCACTGCAATTCGTTGTCGTCAGTCTAGAAAGAGGCTAGAATCTCTGTTTTTGACAGCACGAAGTTGATGTTCCTGTTCACCATAGCGAATGGTCCAGTGTGACTGGAAAACACGGTATCAAAAATTTGTCCGGATATCGCCTTCAAAAGATTAAAGTCGACAGAAGTGCGAGAACGCTCTTCTCAGAGACAAATGCAGAAAACTCGACGAATGTGTTTTCTTACCGCAACGCCTATTTCTTATGCCTATCTCAACCTTCTCCTCATTGGAAAACTTCAATCACGGCGTCTTTGTATGTTATAGGACTGAATTTGCGCAAACATTATCGCCAATACGCGCAAATGCCACATCTTTACACTGATGGTATGCATCAACCGTTTCAGGTAGTCGAGAAACTTGGTTTCTGCATGTTTGGGTTACTTTTTATTTTATCACAGAACTCGTTCACCGTAGGAGCTGAATTTGACGATTCTAAGTATGTAAGTCATGCTGTGGCGTTGGACATACCTATTCCTGGCCTTAACGAAGCAAGTTTGTTTTTGAATTCACTTCAATAAGATTTTTTTCATGTTTTCATGTAAATTCGAATGTCGTACCAATTGTATGTTTAGCTTAATTTTTCTTTCAGATTTTCGACTTTCAGCAGGAAACCTTGATGAAGAGGGATGAAGAGCTTATAGATATTAGTCATACTCGAATATCCTTGCCAATTCCGGGCTCCAATCAACGACTGCCTTTTAAAGTAAGATTTAACAGTTTCTTAATTCCTTCTAGTTGAATTCTTTTCGCAATAGTTTCTTTCTAGGCTCACATGTTCGAGCGCTTCAACGACATCGATCTCAATTTCGCACAAGTTATCCCGAGTCTCAATAGTCACAACATCAGGAAGGATAATATTGTCGATGAACTAGTCACAAACAGCGCGAATCCAAGCGTTGTTGGCTGAGTCATACGCTCTTCAACACTGTTTATGCAGCCTAGTTTTCCTATATTAGTTTGTCGAATAAGTTCATGGCTTTTTATGAGCGCATAGTAGTCCCGAAAGATTAGCATCTTTTGTAAGGACTTATATATTAATAGAAAGATGGGTCT